TTCTAGCTTGTTCTTCTCCATAATTCTCCTTCTAGTCTTTAGTTTGCTGTCATTGCTTAGTGTCACCCTAGCCACACTTTATGCCCTCAGTAGCCACATATGGCAAGTGAATTCTGTATTGAACAGTGCAGATATAGAAAACTTTCATCATCTCAGAAAGTTCTAGATAAAAACCTTTCTCTCACTGAGTTTAAATCATTTCTGCTTCTTCTAAAGATGATAAATTATGGGAACAAATTTAGAAAAAACAAGACAGGGAGGGTAAGAAAAAGAAAAATTTTAAAGCCTGAAGGTTAAAAAAAAAGTGGTAACAAGAAAAGGTAGTAGAGAGACAATGAAAATACCCAAATGGAAGAAATCTTTTTGTTTCTTTAAAGATTGGCACCTGAGCTAACAACTGTTGCCAATCTTTTTTTTTTTATTCTCCCCAAAGCCCCCCAGTACCTAGTTGTAGATTCTAGTTGTGAGCGCCTCTGATTGTGCTATGTGGGACGCCGCCTCAGCGTGGCCTGATGAGCAGTGCCACGTCCATACCCAGGATCAGAACTGGCGAAACCTTGGGCCGCTGAAGTGGAGTGTGCAAACTTAACCACTCAGCCATGGGGCCGGCCACATCAAATAGAATAAATCTTAATCAAGAAAAGCAGAGGGGCCGGCCTGGTGGCACAGCGGTTAAATTCGCACATTCTACTTCGGTGGCCTGGGGTCCACCAGTTTGAATGCCGGGTGCGGACATGGCGCTGCTTGCCAAGCCATGCTGTGGCAGGTGTCCCACATATAAAGTAGAGGAAGGTGGGCAAGGATGTTAGCTCAGGGCCAGTCTTCCTCAGCAAAAAGAGGAGTATTGGCAACAGATGTTAGCTCAGGGCTAATCTTCCTCAAAAAAAAAAAAAAAAAAAAAAAAGCAGAGCGAGCTCCTAAGCACAGGCTGTCTCTGACATTTCTGGTACTTAGATAACTTTCTTGCCAGAGGCCAGGATTTCTGCTCAAAGCTGTGTTTCTAAAGGAGTAGGCTTGGGCTTCACATCGTCATTCCTTTACTCATTCTCTGCAGTAAAAGAGACATTTACCATCAGAATCTTAGATAGCAAAGGCCACTTTAAAAAAATGTGGAATTAAAATGCTACTTCAGAATAATGTGGACACAAAAAATACACATTTGGGAACGGCAAGGCTAGCCTCCTTGCCAGTTTTAGACTTGTGAAAGTTAATGAAAATCAAGCCCCCAGAGGGCCTTCCAGTTACTGGATGCTCACTCCCGCTCAGGCCTTGATGAAGATGCATCTCAGTGCTCTTCTGGTCACTGAAGAAGAAAAATTGTGCATCTCTGCCCTTGTTCATCCTGTGGTTTCTGGATGAAGAAAGAGAACTCAGATAAGAGAACCCAGAACGGCTGGCAATTCATAGCCCCTGGCTACAGGGGAAGAGAGAAACTTTAGGCAGGGAACTAAGCTAGAGATCTGAGAACTAGAGAAAAGAGGTAATCTAGAGGGCAGTGGAGAGAGGGGATTAATGAAGTGAGCTCTGAGATGCCAGTAGGTTGGGGGACAGTTGGGACTGATCTCACAAAGGTAAACTTCCTTTCTAGAGACTTTCTGGAGGCAGACATTCAGGGACAGAAATGATTGGGGCAAAAGTTGCTTTCTTCAGAGCAATACAGACGCTAATTTCTCCTCACAGAATTTCCCAGAACTAGAGTTTTTCTTTCCTGGTACACAACTCAGAACAAATTTCCTGAAATAATGTTCAAAAAGGTTTCTCTTCTTATACCTTAAGCCAAAATTTCTCTAAAATTCTCAAATTTCATCTCAATGCCTCTCCACCCTTATCTCCAGGACATGAGGGAGATACCAAGCATTATACTTGATATGTGTGCAGTTTCACTACCAATGTCATATTTAAAACAGTATTCAATCTGATTATTCAAAGAGCAGGTTTTCAATCCAAATAAGATTTAGGAAAAGGGAATATGGCCACACAGAGGTGAAAGAGACACCTGAGGCCAAGATCAAAACTAATAGCATTATTTTGATGTGCTTATTAACCAGTCATAATAAGAAACTTAGCAACAGTTTTCAGGATCAACAGAGCTGTTTTCCAAAATGGTGCCAGGGTATGGTATAAAAGGTTAGACTGGGAGTTGTTTGAAACCAGGTAGGAATTCTTGTTCTATCATTTAGTAGTTTCATCACCTTGGGAAAATGGCATAAGCACTCAGCTTCAATAAAATGGAAGCAATCACAATGCTTATCTTGTAAAGTCATTATTAGGATTAAATGAAGCAGTGCATGCAAGGTGCTTAGCATAATGTCTGGCACAAACCTGGTACACATGCCATGTCACCTTTCTTCCTTTCTCCCTCTCACCTCTGATACCATCCCTTCTGTTGGGGCTTCTCTGTCCTTTCTGCTGTCCTTCAGCCATGATGCCAGCCAGGTGCCCTCTTCTCTTCTTCTGGGCCTCCTATTCTCTTGAATAACCCCCCAATTATTACAATCATCATTGTGTTTTGTAACTTAGCATTGCTTTTTCTAGTTAAAATAATGAATTTAAATAAAGTGCCTGGTGAAATAACGGATCAGCTTCATGACTAGCTTTTCGACTTCTCTAGTTCCCTCACTTGTCCACTAGGTTTGCCGCTGAACAGTTGATTCAAATTTACTTTATTGGACTAACTCGGTGTTCACGTTTATTTTACAATGTTTATGTTTATTCCCAATTATTCTAACCCACAGAAAGAAAGCAAAGCCCTTAATAAAATGGAGCATGACGTTTCAATTTTCACATGAGTCATACTTGCAAACAGCGCTTTCTTTTGTCTTGGGCTCAGTGTATGCTGCAAATCAAAAGAGGATGGGCAGAGTTTGGTGCATGTAAACAGCTGGGGCACAGTGTTAAGCTGATAGTATGGAAGAATCTGAAGCTTTTTTTTTCAGTCTGTGTAGGGAATAAAACTAGGAAGAATCATTTTACACCCATGGGAAGGATTTACTGGTTTTTAAATATGATAAACCTTTCTTAATACTGGTGCTTTGAACTTGCTGAGCGCCTTTCAGCAGTGGATTCCAAAGCACTTCACTGACAGTGAGCCCCAGGCCCCTCGGGACAGAGGCATTATTTCCATTTCATAGTTAGGGAAAGAAATGCAAGGAGTGACTTGCTCGAGAACACAGAATAAGTCCCAACCAAGTTTCTGTCTCAAGAACTCAGACCAAATCTAACCTCTAGGCTACTCTTGCCCCTACACATTCATTTTGTAAAAGGAAAACAATGATTTCAAATGTATACTCAGTTAAACATAAGGATATATCCCTTTCCACCTGTTTTAACATGTTTTTGAAGTTTTGCTTGTTTTCACACTGGCAGGCTTTTCAGCTGATTAGCTCTGAGTGTCTTTTGTTTAAAGTGTCTCGTGCAGGGGATGAGAGCAATCGGATGATCAAGGATCTTTCCACTGCTTAGTCACTAGCTCACGTTCAGTCTAGTTGGGTGGTGACCCACAGGGACTATTCCAATTTTGAAAGAGGCAAATATGTTGCACATCTTAACCTAGTTTTGGGGTGGAGGAGTGGTACCAAAATGAAAAAGGAAAGAATTTAGATCAGGTCGTTTGAGTTCTATGCCTAAGAATTCCATGAACACCTATGAACACTGGCAACAAAGTACAGAGGGGAATAATCTTAGAAATAGAAAATAACGTTCCTTTCAGAAAAACAAACAAAAAAATGTAGGACAAGTCCACTTGAGGAAGGGGCAGTAGAGATTGAGAAATGAAAAGCGGCATCAGAAAGGCTGATACTAGCAATGCTAATTTGCAAACAGATTTCAGGAGAGGTGTGTAACTTCACTGCTCCAGGAAGATCAGAGGGACTAGGGTGATGGTGAGATGCTAGAAAAACAATTTCATCACACAAATGTCCTAGAGAATAAGATAAAATAAAATATATCCCCAGTTTCTTGACAGAAATTTGCATCTATTTTATTGCCTAATACAGACGCGACAGTGCAAAAAGTAACTGTAAATCATTGTTAACATAAAGGTCAACATTTAAACTATCAAGACTCAATCTGGAGTAATATTTGAAATTATTACCCACGCAGGGCACTGCACTAATAAAGGTTTCTCTAACACCCCCACTCCACCCCACCCCCAAATGCATACAAATTTTTGGAGACAGGTTATAGTCTCCACCCAATCTTCATCATCTGAGGGAAGCATTGGCTTTGGCAGCTGGCAGGTTGCTCTCTATTTTTTCTTTTCTTTCTTTCGGTTTGTAAGATCTGGGAAGAGGAAGTGATATTTACTCCTTGGTGTTAGTAGAACAATGATGGACACTGAGGATGTCTTCCACTCTAAACGTTGACCACAGCAAGGAAACATTCCCACAGGAATATTTATAAAGCTGCTGCTTTCATTTTTGAACATCCCAGGACTTTTCTTGTGATTTCTAAAGAATTAAGGACAATTTGACATTATGATTAAAGGGGAAATAAGCCTCACAGAACCAGAAGAGTCTTCCTCACCCTTGTCCAGATAAACACATGGCTTTGAGCCTGGAGGAAAGGGGGAATACAATTTGATAATGCATTTACAAAAGGGACCTTATGCGTGAAACATGATTGTCTCAAAACGATCTCACTTGCAATTTTATTCAACATCCAGTTGTGTCATAGAACACTTGTGTCGGTTTTACCATACAAACTACATGTTTGGGGTTTAAGTTTCCATTTCATCCAGAAACAAAGGAAATAGCACTGTCTTAAACAGCTTCTTTGGCTCCTCTCTTCGCCATGAGCTTCTTTCTGGAGAAAGTCATGCATAGAGCCATGGTTTCCATACTTGTTTAATAATAGCTTATACCCCAGCATATAAACAAATAACCATTTTATTAGCCTATTTCTTTTATATAATTAATTTATAACATTGACTTCTTATGAAATCAACCATTGAGCATGGCCAGTATTTTGATTTAGAAAATAATTTGAGATCAGCCTCAATATTTCATTTTTTGATATATTTTATTTTGATTGCACAGTATTGAGGAAAATGCTAATTCAATCATGTAAGTCTTTACAAGTGGTGAAACTTCTGCACAGTTCCCTTTGCAACCTCAGCACACTCTTCAAAAAAAGCAACTAGGAACATTTCATTTCAAAAACTGAGTCACCAATAATATGTAACAACTGTTCATTCTTTCTCGCAAATATAAAAGTCAGAAGAGAAGCACCCAAAATCTACAGTAAGTGTCCCAAACTGTACTGAACAAGATAGCTTGTCATTTATTTTTGCACAACCATGCAGTTATACTGGGAACAAAGCATGTTCTGAGCAGATCCGCAGGCCTGACCTGGCATTTAATCGAGCCCAACATTCACGTGACCCCTCACGTAGTTTCACAGAAGCACGCTTGAGCAGTTCTGAATTTTTAAAGGAATGTTTCAGCACCACTATATTTCTAATTAATGGCACATTTAGGAGAAGTAAAAATGTTTTCAGAGAAGGTAGGAGAAGCTGTATTCTGAGTCTACACTAAAAAGAGGTCACCTGAAAGCACAGGTTAAGGCGTCAGTGGTATCAGAAGAATTAAAACTTAGTACATATGGTATGTAGCAGATGGAACATGCAGACCACTTCCATTCTTTTTTCAAGTAGTTAAAGTATATGTCTAGAATAAAATACAGATCAAACATTTGTGGCTCTCTGAAGCACTCCGCAGAATTCCTCTGGTATCTGGCTCAGAATGGGTAATAAATATTTGTTGACTGGATAATAGATTCTAGTTTGAAAATTCAATGGCATAGAATAGCAAAAGTTTCTCCAGATTCCCTCAGATTCTCAAGTGGAGGTGGAAAAGAAAATTAAGTCAGTCTGCAGGCACCTTCTCGGTCCTTAAGCACCTTTAAATCTTATTTTTCATGACTACTTTACAACAGAGATTTTTACGTGTGTAACAGCAGGTCTGTAAGGGAGGTATTATTACCCCAATGTTACAGCTCAAAAATCAAAACAAAATAATACTTATTAGGGTCTATTAACGAGTAAGGTCTGGAATTGAGATTCAGAACTTGGACCACGGGGACTCCAAACCCACGCTGCCTTACTCCGTCTGTGTGTCTTTGGCACTCTCTACCTCTCGCTCCATTTCCCATCTCCCGCACGAGCTGAAAGCACTACTTATAATTTAAAGCCTACTTGGATTTGGGGGTTGGTCAGAAAAAGCCCTCATGTCTAGTAAGTGCACTTGTTCAAATATGAAAGAATTGAAATAATAATGTATATGATATATACATTATATAATAAAAAATATATAATACATCTACACATCGCATGTATAGGATCGGTTTCTTAAGGGATGGCATAAAGTACATTTCTTGTCATATCAGAGCATTTCACAGTGAGAGAGCATTCCTACACAGAAATGAACATTTTATTCTTCCCTCTGTAACTTTTTGTTTAAAGAAAATTCCTTGAATGTTTTCTTCCCCTAGAAAATGGAGAGTGTGCTAACTAAATAAACATAGAGTATTAAAATTGCCCTGCTGATAATTTTGCTAAACCTCTGAAAAGTCATCTCTGTGGCATAAATAAGGCTGGCGACAATAGTCGAGGATCAGGGTTTCTCAGCACACAGAGTAGCCTTTGTCCAGTAGATGTTTTCCTCGGGTTTTTTCTCCTCGATAGAGTGGTAACAAAAGGATAGCCTTCCCACTTTGTCCCAGAGATGGGGGTTTGAAGGCTATTGATGGCAACTGTGCGCCTTATCTAAGCCTCTCCCGATGGATCATTTAGGATGGAAAGCCCCACTTCATTGGTCCCTGGACAGGAAAGAGGGGCCGCAGTGGGGACAGGGAACAGTTCTCTGCTTAAAGGGATCTGGCAGCTTTGCATAAAGGAAGATGTTTATCCCTGTTTATGGCATATCCCTTCTCCCTGTATAATTCCCATGGCCGATGTTACTTTTTATAGCAGGTCTGACTGTCTGGGAAGGAGCCACGTTGCTCCACGCCTTAGAAAGCAAAAGGGAAGGCTGAGAAACCTTCAGTACTGCTATCTGCAGAAGGGTTTCTGGCTTTCAGACTCCACAAAGCAGATTAACTCTGTGTGTGTGTGTGTGTTCACTCAAGCACACATATGCCGCATAGATGGTATAGGAGCTTTTCAAATGGATAATTTGATTGAAAGAATCAAAAGCTTTTTCTTTATACACTCCCGCAACTTCTTTGGCATATTAAATTTATCATTAAATGAATATTGACTATTAGTAATCAGTTGATTTCAAAATTATATCCTAATGTCATTTTTTTGTGGTATAATAAATTGGGAAGATGCCACTGTCTTTGAGTTTTATAAAGACCTATGGAAAACACCAAAATTCCTGTGATCTATTTTTACTTTTATCATTGACACTATGATTTTACTAAGAAAAGAAAGGAAACTTCCAAGCAGAGTTTAATTTTAAAGAGGATGCAGGGTATCTTTTAGAAAGATTTTCTTAATTATCCAGATTAATCCTGACTTTCAACTCCAGATAAGAAATAGGATATCCCATAAGGAGGATTTGCAAGATGTAGGGAATTTTCTGCCAACCAGGAAAGGCTCCCAGGGTCTAAGTTATTAAAGTTAAATTTATTGGTGATTATGTCTATTTCCTGTATAAAATGAAACTTCAAAATAAACACTTGAAAAAGTCAAGAGAAGTCAACTAAATGGCATGGTTTTTATACATGTAAACGAAGTGGCCATTTTCAAAGGGCCTCATGGCCTGGCCAATTGAATAAAATGAATGTGAGAGCTCAATTTTAACCCCCGACAAATGCTGACACAGTTGTAGCCACACACACACACACACACACATTGTTCACAAGAAATAATAGACAAACTGCCCGGAGATATTCAGCTTTAATCCAATCAAGGGGCTCTTGTGACATTGTAAACCAAGTAACTAGAGTTTGAGTAGTTGAGGCTGTCCCTAGACCTTCTGGATGGGATTAATTCCCTGTAATTCCCCACAGTCCTTTCTAATTGGTTAAGATGTGTGAGACGCCATGTGTAACAGAACCACCTAGCCATCTTCACCTCACACAGGCCACTTCAAATGGAAAAAAAAAAAAATCTCTTGAAAAGAAGAGAAGCCAGCAATTGGCTCTACCTTACGGGAATACAATGCTTACTCTTCTTCCGGACTCTCTGACAAGTCCAAACAGTGAAGACCACTGCTGCTCCGTCAGCAACGCCACCTCTGGTAGAAGGGGCAATTACACCGTAAATAGGTCTGGACGCTCCAGAGCCGGGTGCCTCAATCTGTAGGTGGAGTTTTAAATTTTGGTAAAAGTAAATAGCAAGCCTCGTGCAAGTACAAGAACTGGTTTGTTCTCATAAAATAGATCTTTAAGAAGTTAAGGTGTAACAAAAATAACACCAGATGGAACACTTATTCAAATCTGTACCTGCTACCCACCAAAATACTTACTCATTCTGGTGAAGTTAGAAAATAATAAAATCATCAGTATGACATGAAGGTGACACAATCGGTGAGTTAGTTGAACTTTTTCAGTTTTCAATTTTTCTGTTACAGTGCTGTATAAACAGAACTTGAACCCACAAGTCATCATCATGGCAAAACTCAAGCTAAGAGATGCTCCAATGTTAAGCAATGACCAACGTACACCTTTAATGCTCTTTCTTTATTTAAACCGAATGCATCTGAATGAGCACTGGACACCAATATACAACTGAGACCAGGCATGTGTCTGTGTGTCTCTAAATCGGTGAGCCTGCAAGTACTTATTTGTAGGGCTTGCAGAGCTCAGCACTATCCTGGCAGCTTGGAGGACACACCCATAGAGGTCTATGTTTTTGAGAGAGCTAATTGAATTTAATTATCTGGATGCTTGTTTTCTTTGGATGTGCTGATGAGAAAAGGTGTGGGAGAAAGGGTGATTTTCTTGGTAACTAGGATTGGGGATTAGAAAAAAAATGTGGGAGCACATAATAAGACAAGCTGATAAAGCCAGCTTATTTTTTGAAGTTAACCGTAAGTGGTCCAACATTACTCATAAAAGTTAGACTTCTACAATGAATGCATTTAAGTGAAGTGTTTTTTCAAGTATGTTTCTTGAGCCACCTCCATCTGAATCACCTAGTGTCCTTACTAAAAATGCTACCCCCCTCATACCTTTTCCATCCCTCCATGCTCCTTGGCTGATGGACTCCAAGTAATCCTTGTCTGTTACGTGCTGAGCTTTCCCTCAAATTCAGAACGGCTTTCAGATGGGGACTGTACTTCATTGATATCTCCAAAGCTTAGCAGAAAGTCTAGCAAATAGTCATGCTAAGTGAACTAATGCTGATTTTAAGAAAGTGGACTTCCATGTGATTTCACAACTAAGATCGTGTGTTCATGTGTCAGGTGCTCTGAGAACAACAGCAGATTGCTCCATGGCCTGAGCACCTGAGCCAATGCTCACACCCTGTTTATAGACAAGGGAAAGGGAACTAATGTGCATCAGGCACTAACGATGTGCTAAGAACGATGATGGCACCTGACACAGTGTCTCATTTAAGCCTCATAATTCCACTAGGAGGAAGAAATTGCTTCTCCTTAGGTTGAGTTGCATACCCAGTTTCGCAGACCTATGACATAGCTGAAAAAAGATGAACTATACCCGAAGGGTCCTCTGTCCACTGTTGCAAGTGTGTATCAAAAGGAGTTGATCCATGCCTGAAGTGTCTGATGTATCCCTGACCTGCCCTAGAAATTAAGAGAAGTCCGGAGACAGGGAAGTCAGTTCAATACTCCATCTCATGGGTTTTCCAATTAGGTCGGGCAGACTATTCAAAAGCAGCGATTTCTGAAACACCACCCTTAGAGTAGATGGGAAGAGATCTCCCTTCCCCCGGCACTCTCTCATCCCACCGCCTGCCGCTGGGCCAGGCCAGAACACAGAAGGGCCTCAGGGTCCCTCCAGAGTTCTAAGCTCCAAGCAGATGGCTCCTCAAGTCTGGGGCAGAACCAAGATCCCTCACACAGGCTGGAGTTTCACAGTCTAGAGTCTGTTGCTCTGTAAAGGAACAAAGCGACCATTAAAACAAACCCAGGCCGTTTTCCAAGTGATTTCGAGAAAAATAGTAAAAAGTTAACGGTCATGAGTAGAGGAAAAAATAAAAGCTACATTTTGTAGAGATTTATGTATATATACAAATATGTATGTACATATGTATGTGAGTATGTTTAATTCTAGGGACCCAATACAGAACAAAATTAAGTCTCTTCAGAATAGGTTTCCTTCTCTTGTTTAAAACTCCCTGTTTGATGAGCATGTAGTTGAGTAACCCATTTATACTTGACACATCTGCTGACTACTCAGAGGTCCTAAGACATACACGGTTAAGATTCCTTAGGGTCCAAAACAGAAGGATACAGAAACAACCCAGGAACGTGCATTCAAACAAGTCCCATCATCCGTAAAAAGAGGTCTTCCAGGTACGAGCACACCCAAGGAAACGTCGGCCCAAAAAAGGGAAAGAATAGACAGAAGCTTTATATCCCTTTTAAATTATATTTTCCTATATTATTTTTGTGAAAAGGAAATTAAAAGTATTTTCAAAAGGCTGGTCCTAGTTTTAAGAGGAATATTGGCAATGGTTCTTGAATTACGTATAAATTTTTCTTTAAAAATTAGGATTTAAAAAATTTTTTAATTCTGGCTCTTAGGAAATGAGCACGTCTAGGGTTCAACTCTCTCGTTTTCAGAACCACATTGCATAGCAAAACATTAAATTCACTCCGCTTACCAATTTTTCCACTCACATTCTTTTTTTATCACACATGCTTTTTTGAACCTGTATTTACATAGGGTTTGGGGAGGCAACAGGCAGTGGCGAGGCATGGAGAAAGATACCAAATTATGTAGCTTTTTAACAGGGATTTCACCTGCCAAAGAAAACTCTGACTCTAGGCATGGTTTGCTAGTGAGCTGTTGGTTCGAAAGGGACAAAAGAGATGTTATCGTCCCTTCACCTCAATGGAGAAACCTTTTTTGGGTTAACAAGGAACGGACTTACAGGAAGCCCTTCCCCATCCCTGACAATTCAACAGTCTTTTAGAATTTCATAGTCTCCTTCCAAAACCACCTTCAGTGTCATAGAAGATTTCTAAACCACAACATTTTCCTAATCCAGGATAGCTCACCCAAATCAGGGCCTATGGAGATATTTTTAGGAAACTTTGTTTGCCTCCATCCTAAGCTATACTAAGCAACACCAGAACTGGCCACCAAGGGGCAAAGCTCCCAAAGGCACCAGGAGATTGCTTCCAGGTCAAGTATACGGCACTGGTTTTCCCTTACCTGCCTCCTCACATCTGAGAAGAGTTTGCATCCATCACAAGTGGACTTGGCAAGGTCTCTCCTCCTTGCATCCACTGTAGAGTGGACCACATTCCCCCAGCACAATTCCCTCTGCTTGGAATGTCCTTCCCTCCCTTCAGACATGTTGCTGCCCAAATATTTCTCAGTCATCGGAAAGACCTTCCCTGACCGCCCGGTGTAAACTAGTCCACCAACACGGTCTCTCTCGTCTTACCCCGCAGTCTTCTTCCTCACAGCCCTGACTTGCTACATTTGTTTACTGGCTGCTTGCCCCCAATTAGAATGTCAGCTCCTTGGGGGCAGGGCGTCACACCTTTTGTTCAATGCCTTAGCCCCCAAGGCCCACAACAATGCCAGGACATGATTAAATTATAAATTAAAAATTATTTCAATTATTATTTTATTGCATATTATAAATTGTTATAATTTAATTAGAAATTTAAATAGGACACCTCTGTGAGATATGTGTTTTATGAATCAATCAGTGAATGGTAGGAGGACTTCGCCTAGAGTTTCAGAAAGCGTTTGGGACATTTGCCGAACGTTTAGGGGGTTGCCCTCAAATTTAGTGGTGGCTCAGAGACAGGGCATTACACCACAGGACCTGGGGGACTCCCTTTAGGCTGGGGGGAGTCTAGGGTTGGTAAGTGATGGGTGAAGGATAAGGCCTCCGCTAACTGTGGCTTGATCACAGGTTTAGTGTTTGGTCTGCATTCAAAGCCCTCTAGAGAATGGCTCTACTTTACTTCCCAGCTTTCTCTCTCTGGGGGTAAACATGTTGATTCTCAGCCAAAGGGAGCTACTTTCTTCTAGGTGTGTTCACCCCACCAATGTACTCTATTTATGATATCTTATTTGCCCCAAAATGTTCTTTCTACCCTTCCCAGCCTTGCGAGCACCCTTTGCCCATCCCCACACATCTGAATTCCATCTCATCCACCTTTGAGCCCTCCTCTAGGAATCATGCCTTCCCTGAAGCTCTTCTTCACACACCCACCATCACAATCATCATCACCACCCTGGCTGGAAGGAACCTCTCCTCTCCCGTCTCACTGTTTAAGACCCCCATCTCCCTGGGGCCGGCCCGGTTGCCTAGTGGTTAGGTTCATGCACTCCACTTCAGTGGCCCTGGGTTCCCAGGCCCCAGTGTGGGGCATGGATCTATGCACTGCTCATCAAGCCATGCTGCGGCAGCATCCCACATAAAATAGAAGAAGATTGGCACAGATGCTGGGTCAGTGACAATCTTCCTCAAGCAAAAAGAGGAAGATTGGCAACAGATGTTAGCTCAGGACCAATCTCCTCACCAAACAGAAAAAATTTTTAAAAAAGAAAAGAAAATATTAAAAAAAATTTCCATTTCCTTTGTTGCAATCACGCTCTTTACTGTGTACTTGGAGGTTTTGGTTGGTTGTCTTGGTGGTTGTTTGCTTGCTTGTTTTCGTATGACCTTTAGCATTGCTATTCGATCAAGCAGCCATTTCCCTTGGTTTTATGAACCTGCCTCCACCCGGTTCACATATCACTTCCCAGTTCACAGGGATTCTCCACTGCAGGGTGCACATGCCAAGGTGGGAGGGTGGGAGGCCAGGGCAGCACATATCTGAGTCTATGGTGGGGGAGAATGTATACAGGCTGAAGGAGTACCCCACCTCTTGCTACTCCGCTCTGCAATTTCTGACATCCCAAATAATCTCCCCACACTTGAGATTCACCGTATTCGACTAGAATTGGCTTGTATTATTCACCATTGCGTCCCCTACAGTGTCGAGCCAGGTACCTTGAACTTTCTGGGTGCAAAACAAATGTTAATGAATGAGTGAACGAATGCACCAATGGGAAACCTTTCTGTTCCCTCGTACCTAGCACCTCCCTGATCCCAGTTTTGAAACACACATCCTTCAGGCTGTCTATAAAACACCTTCGTCTTTAATCCTTATCCCCCTCCACAGCCACCCACACCCTCTGACCAGGCATTTATCTCAGGGTACAGAATGCCATTCGCCTGCTGATCAAAGGCTGTGGGAATGGGCGGCATGAGCAGAACGGCAGCTGCGCTCAGAGCCTGCCCACGCCCTTCCTGTTCACAGCAGCCCACCCCAGGGGCTATTATGTTTTCGGCAGGCTAAGCGGAGCCCCTCCTCCATCCTCTCCTTCCCTGGTCCTTGCAGATACTCTGTGGGTCTGAAGTGGCAGCCCCTGCCCGTGGAGCCTGCTTTCAGCGTTTCATTGTCCCCAGGCAAGATGCAGATAGCAGGCCAGACGCTCCTTTCCCCTTTCCTGGGACGCTGATAAGCCAAAGAAAGCAGGTCTCTATTTTCCTGCACAAAAGCTGACTTAGAAGAATGGGGTGGAGCATAAGTGATAATCAGCCAGAATTTGTTGCTTTTCTAAAAGAAATATGGTGGGGGGAGGGCGGGAGGGAAACCGAAAGCTTTGAGTTTTTGCTCCAGGTTGTAACAGTCAGGCGCCTTCCAATGCCAATGTCCCCTTTCCAGTCTTAGAGCCTCATTTCACTTCTGTAATGGAAAACGCTGCCCTCCGGTCAGAGGGCCACTAGTGTCACCTCCTGAGTTTGGCTGGGCCACCTGGGAGCCTCTCCTGTGACCCACTTAACCAGCGTAGCTTACTGGTCAGAAGTAAGGGAGAGGGTGGAAAACAAGAATGCCTTCCTATGCATTTAACCCATTCCAACCGCGTTTCTTACCCTTTTGAGCCCATCTGCTTGGTCAATTTCATCTGGAAATGAGTGTGCTACCTTACTGTGGGGAGCTTCATCAACTCCACGTAGTCTCAGTTTATCCCTAGTGTTCCTGGTCAGGGGCTCTTCAAATAAACAAAACAGTCTGGAGTTTCCAAGTTATTTTGCAAGAGTAATCCTTCAAAGATGTAGTCGGTGTTTGGTGAATGCAGAGGTGGAGAAATGGAGGATTACCATTTCCATCTGGAACTGAAAAAAATGAGATGAAGGAGAGAAATGAGACTTTTAAAAAACGTTTCCTAGTGGGAGAAGGCTGTACTGAAGCTGCTGCTGGCCTTGCTCTGCCACAACTTGCTCTGGAACCTGGTGCAATTAACAGTATCCTCAGGCCTCCTTTTCTTTGTCAGAAAAAGAAGGTAATTTCCGTGAGGCCAATTCAAGGAAATTAATTGGTCTAGGCTAGAGTCCCAATATTGGTACTGTCTTTAATAGCAACCAAGATGGTTCTAATGTACCATTAGTGTGTATAATCAGTGAATGAGATGATCTCTAAGATATCTACTGGTTCTAAAATGTTATGCTTCGGGGCCGGCCCAGTGGTGCAGGGGTTAAGCGTGCACGTTCCATTTAGGCGGCCCGGGGTTCTCCAGTTCAGATCCCGGGTGCAGACATGGCACAGCTTGGCAAGCCATGCTGTGGTAGGCATCCCACCTATAAAGCAGAGGAAGATGGGCATGGATGTTAGCTCAGGGCCAGTCTTCCTCAGCAAAAAGAGGAGGATTGGCAGCAGATATTGGCTGAGGGCTAATCTTCCTCAAAAAAAAATAAATAAAATGTTATCGTTCTATAGTTTAGGGTACAAATTTTCGATTTTTTAAATTTAGATATAATTGATATGTAACATTAGTTTCAGGCGTACAACATCATGATTTGATGTTTGTATATATCATGAAATGATCACCACAATAAGTTTAGTTAACATCTATTACTGGCACCGACTGATTGCTCCAAGGACTTCAAGGGAGAGTTTGGAAACATTTAACAGTTTTTCCAAATTGTTTTTTTTCGCTTTTGTTATGTTAAGGAGATGCAACCACCCTGAATCAGACCAAGCCTCACCACAGAGCTACGCCTATGACCTTTGCTTTATTTCTAATACTAAGATCTCTCCAGGAGGAGCTTAGGCCTTAATACTGTAAACTGCAGTCTATGTGGAAGCATGTTTTCCAACTGAGCCAGTGCAAGCAAATACCCACTGCTCCTTTTTGAATATTCATTCCCCACCCCATATAAAATATCCCTGCTTCCCTTTGTTCGGGGACCCCATGACTTTGGAAATGATTCCACATGGTTTCCTATTTGCTGCAAACATACTTTACATTGTGACACAACTACTTCCGGTGGAGGATCTTGTTTAACTCGCCAGGAGGTGAACCCACTTTGGTTTCGGTAACATTACCACCAAGCGTCTCTATTAATCCTTCTCTCATTTACCTAAAGACTTGATTCATAGGTCCTTACCAACTCCCTCATCTTTCTGAAACTGGTGAAGAAAGAAAGTCAGCAACTGGCTGCTGCCACTTCTTCTCCCACACTGGGACACAAGAGCAAGTGGTCGAACATTTGCTCAATCACCCAGGAACCCAATTTCACAGGGCATGTAAGACTCTGGGAGACTTAAAGCAGGGCCATATTCATGAGCTGAACTTACCCAAGAAAACTATAGAACTCCACTGAAATAGCGGCAGTGAGGAGAAGAGGTCACAGCAGTAGAACAACCCAACTAGGAGTTTAGACTCTCATGCATTTTTCATCTGAACAAGGCTGCACGGAACAAAAGCAACCCCACTGGCCAGACTGGGATGCGCCTCCTTTACTTTCCTTGAGAAAATACTTAATTGTCTTTACAAATCTCACTATCTTAGCTTTTGCTTCTTAAATTGCAACCTAAATCATCCTTATGATTTCTCTGTTGCCCTTCTGCCTCCTTACATCAAACTCTGTGGACTATTTCTAGGATCCCTAGTCCTGTTGTCACTCTGGACTTGCTCATCTTCTCCTAGGGAGGCTCCTCCGCCAGTGAGCAATCTTGGGAAGGGCTCTTGGTGACAACTGCCTAAGACATTGCCAATAATTCTCCAGTGGTTTTAAAATCAAGTATGCAACTGCATAAATAGAAAAGGAACAAGTAGCATAAAATTAAGTAAAATGCCAAAAATCTCATACAAATGGAGTAGTTAGACAATAAAAGCAAAACGTAAATACAATTATGTTAACTTACATCTTTAGAATAAAGTCTTGGGAACTGGAAAGGATTCTATTAGTTAATATAGACCAACTCCCAAAGGATGCTCTCTTCAGCATCCTCCACATAGGGCCATCCAGGATTGACTAAACACCCAGGGATGGGGTTCACTCTTTCACAAGGCCTCTCATTTCAGTTTAAATCTGTTTTAATTAAAATCCAGTTGAAGTCAACTACCAAGTTAGAAGCACTGTGAGTAATAGTACAGCCCTGGAGAAAACATCGGTTCCTGCCACAAGAAGAAGAAAAACACCAATTAGAGAAGAAGGTTCTAGAACGGGTAACAGTGGTCTGAGATACTTATTTATAACCTTGTCAGTTAGACTCACTTTAAAATTGCACATTCACAGGGCCTTTTTATGTCCCCACCTAGAGAACAAACATTCTCGTTCAGCAGTTTCTGCTGTCAGAAAAAAAAATTGATGGAGATAAATTATCTCAAAGTAAAAAAGAAAAAAACTTGATCCAAACCTCTTTCTAAAATGAAAATTTTTTTTAAATAATGAATTTGTTCTTTGAAGCTCCACCTTTTGGTAAAAATTACCTAATCTTTGCATTCCAGTTATTTAAATGTTGTGGATAAAAAGTAGGGAATATCACAATGACCTCTGCTCCCCCCAAATTCTGAACTTGTAGGGAAATTGATGTAAATATGTGTAGCAATTATACGAAAACTAATGGAGTCATAGGGTATCGTTAACCCAAGATACTTTAGGTAAATAACATAGACGAAGAAAGAAGAACTTACTGAGGGATAGAATTTGCTCTCTGGGATTAATTCCAGATCTTAACCCATAGATTTTACTCTTTCAGCTTAAAAATATTGCTTTTTGGCTTTTGGCATTGATCAAGATAAAGATATCCTATGTACATATTGTTTTCAGTATAAACCAAGACAGGTCTATTTTGTAGCGCATTTGGTCCATGTGGTGTTCTAAAATTGTTGTATTTTCAAGGATGAGAAAGAAAAATATAATAATAATAGCAAACATTTATTGAGCACTCACTATGGGCCTGGGACAGTACTGAGAGCTTTCATATATTCTCTCATTTAAAGGCACAGGCATGAGGTGATTTATCTGAAACCACTTCCCAGGTACTAGAAAATTGAATCAGCATCCACGGAGCTTTCTAGAGGCATCACATTTATGTGGCACTTTAAACTTCTCAGAGTACTTTCCTAACTGTTATCTCTTTAAAATCCCACGTGCTAGATAGGGCAGCACCTTAATTAATTAATTAATTAAGAAGATGTTAGGTGGAATTGTCTAAGGACAACCAAATATGGAGAGCAGAGCTAAAAATAGAAGCTAAGTCCTCCTCTGTCTTCTGTCTTTATTTATAAAATGAGAAAAACTTGTAGTTGTTTTCGAGTTTTTTGCTAGTTTCAAAATTCCCACCCTATGCATCTTTGCCCAAGACTATGAGGTAATCAGCTTTACTAACTTCCAGAACATTTAGAAACTAGTGCTGTGTTTATCTGCTTGGTGTCAAATCTAGATTCATCTCCACCTTCACAGATGTGGAGATGGGTCCTAACTTTGGAAATTCACTTTAATTTAACTAAACTAGCATTGTTGTATATACTCTGGGAGTTTGAGAGATAAATAGCTAAAGTTCCTAAGAATCCTAAGTATCCTTTGGAGAGATGAAAGAAAGAGAAAATTCCAACTGGGAGAAATAGAGAAGTCATCAATGAGTCCAGTAAATATAAACAGCATATACAAGGGCTGGTTTTCAGCATGATGAATGAAAATAACTTTTTGCAGGGCTCAATTCTTCAGGCAAGCTCTCTAAGTTTGGGGATCTATGTCAGAGAAGCATATTCTAATGGGTAAGCTTCATGTATTTGTGTGCTCTACATTATTCTTAGTGTCTTGGCGCTGAGTTCAGAGACAAGAGTCAACATATTTTTGTGTTTTTTTAATGATCGAATGAATGAGTAAATAAGAAACTTTTTTTCAATCAATAGTCTTATAAATGTATCTATTCATCTGCTAAACAAATATTTATTGAGCACAACTCTATGGACTTTAACGAGAGGGACATATATTACGCGATTAATTTTTTATTACAATAGTGATTTTTTCCATATGCCCTAGGATCACGTCCCTCTGCCTCACACTGCTTTAGAGTCATCTAGTTGACCTCTGCTCCTTCCTGCTCCACCATGGTCCATGGTGCTTACCTGACTGCTATTTACTGAGGTTCGCTATAAAATTCTGCTTCCTCCCCAACGGCCCATGGGGAGGGTGGCAGAGTATGAGGTAGGCCTCACCTCCATTGGTGCCCATCTCTTTCTTTCTCCATAACCTCACCACACAAAACTGTATGGGTATACAGATGTCCCTGAATATTTGGGCAAAATTAAGGGGAATCACAAACTATGAAGGAAGAACTGTCAAACCAAATGCTATGTGTGACTTTTTCACACCTCAAGGGGAGATTATCCCAGAAGTGAAGCCCTCTCTAAGGGAGTCAACTGGTTCTGAGCCACACCCTCCTGGGCTCAGGTAGCCCCTCCTTTGGCTCTGAGAGCACCTTCTTCAAGTCTCCAGCTACGTTTTGGGAAACTCCAGCTTAGATTGGTCTGGATGCTTTTATTAATACCACATTGGGAAAACAGCAACAGTCATACCAAAAAATAGTGCATACAAAAAATGTGTTGTTTTTATTCACGGTGGCTTAGGAGAGAGGGCAGAAGAGATTATAGGGCAGCTCTACCCCTCACCATCCCCCTAAGCCACCCTGGGGACTGCTGATGGCTGAATCATTTCCATTGGGAGTGGGGATGGAGGGACACCTTCCAAGACTAATTCCACAGAGGAATATTAGAGAGAGCAGGAATCTCTATTCACGGATCCCACTCTTAACATGCTACTCCCAGAATAGTTAAGGAGTGAGCAGAAGGCTTTCCTATTGCTCTAACAGAACACTCCTTGGC